AAAAAATACAATGAAAAGAGGATGCAATTAGTGAAAATAGAAATATAATAAAATGAATAAAAACTAAATAGAAGTAACGTCAAAGGGCTAATTGATGGGTAGGTGGGTGAAAAATCTTCTCAGAACTGTGACACGAACAAAAAATATCAAGAAGTAACGCGAAATTCTAAACGCGTCGTTATATAAACAACTCAGACCAATAAAAATGAAGAATTAAGAATTTTTTATGTCATGCTAAAGTGTGAGGACAGGACAAAGAACTCTCTGGATGTTGTAACTTTATTTTATCCTTGATCCAACAAGTTGCACAAATATGTTGGGCCATTCGCATTTTTCCTTTAACAACCAGAATGCGAGTATTTTTGTGTTCACATCCATTTCTTTGATAGTGAACAAAACCAAACTGATGAATCATCATCTGATTTGCTTGACCTTGAACTTTGAAAAGTAACATTCCTTTTGGTCTGGCACCTGAAGCAAAAAACTCTTATTAACAAAAGTACCTGAATTATTTAAAAGAACTAACTCCAAATCAGTAAAATCATCATTCCATGATTTAGAGCCTAACTCTATTTCCCTTAACACTGCTGCATAATATGTTTTAAAGTTGAAAAATCATGAGAAGTATTTAAATAAATAATTCGTTTTAAAAGGGATAATCTACCCATTTGTTCAACTACTTTTGTTTTAGGATCAGAAATGACTTCCAACTCTGCAGTCACATACAAATTCATATCTAATTTTTGGAATGATACATGATTATTCACAAATTCATATCTAAATTTGTGAGTGAGGATAACGTTGTTTGTTTTTGACCCTATCAGAAGATTTCATATCTATACCAGATTTATGATTTGAATGTTTATGTTTCTTTTTATACTTTTTACTTTTAGATTTCCTAGATTTAACATAACCTTCTTCACTTGACACATCAGAACTTGAGTTGTCAGAAGAATCATCCGAAACCCTGCCACTATTCGAATCAGAGCTACTTATACTTAACAGTCCCAAATTTGTGTACCTCTTGCTTAGCTTCTTTCTTTAGAATTTTTGAATGCCTCAAATCATTTATAGATAATTTTGAAGCAGGTACATTTGCAACGATCTCTGGAGTAAGGCATTTTAATGAAGAAAGCTCTTGTTTACCTTTCAGTCTTCTTACTTCCGCCCTCATCTTAACTAGTTTCCAGCGAAACGCTTCTTTCTCCTTCGCCTTCTTTAACTTAGCTGCTTCTGCGTCTATACTCTCCAGCTCGCTTAACATCTTAGACATTTCAGCATCGTTGTCTCGGCTGGTGTCCAATTCAACTTTCTCTATTAACGAATTTGCTGACGGCCTTCTTTCCTGTTTTAAAGCTACCGCTTCCTCTATGATATGGGCCGACTCATTTTCAAATCCTGCGGTCCCTTCATGTAATTTTTTATAGTCAACTCTGGTGCCCTTGCTAGACTTGGACATCTTGTGCGATATTTATAGAATATCACAATGAACAAAAGTCTTCTTTATCGCACTCTTCTTCCACAAAATTCAATAATCAACTTCAGGTCACATATACATCAACATAAAAGAAAAAACATTTACCAGGAAAAGTTTGTCAAGAAATGTGCATCTAACACTGACGGTAACTTCTTTTTCAGAGTGATATGCCTCTTGCTACATGATGAGAAGTGTTCAAGACGACATCAAAGTACCATAAATATATCTTCTTGTAAGAACTACTATGAAAAATCTTCTCAGAACTGTGACACAAACAAAAAAATTATGGAGAAGTGCAAAATTCTAAACGCGTCGTTATATAAACAACTAGGACCAATAAAAACGAAGAATTAAGACCAATGAAAACAGGTTTACAAAAAGGAAAGTTAAATATAACACCAAAAGAAAGGTGTAAAGCTATCGTCTTAAATTAAATACTTTAAACATATTAAAATAGTCCTGAAGTTGATCCCTTAAGAAATAAAGAAGTAACAGTAAAAAATAATATTTTTTAAGGAAAATTCTAAGCTCAAGAGGAGATAAATCTGAACAGATTGGTGCTAGAGTTATGAACCTTGTCACATAAGAGGTGGTTGAAGATAAGGAACATGTATTTAAATTATGAAGTTGATCCCTTAAGAAATCAAGAATTAACTGTAAAAAATAGTATTTTTTAAGGAAAATTCTAAGTTCAAGGGGAGATGAATCTGAAAATATGAACCTTGTCACATACAATGTGGTTCATTGTAAGTAACATATATTTGAAGTTGATACCTTAAGAAATCAAAAAGTTATAGTGAAAAATATTTTACTGCGCCTAAACTTTAATCTGAAATCTGGACGCGAACGTCAGCGCCGGGGCGAGTAAGACAGCTCTCCATATACTTTGTATAGTCAAGCTAAAAATGTCAAACATGTAGGACTTGAACTAGTGACCTCAAAATCAATAGGGGTCATCTACTAGTCATAACCAACCTCAATACCAAATATGAAGACTGTTGACCAAAGCATTCGTAAGCAATTGAGCAGACAAACATTTTTAACTCAAGGCCCCTGTGACCTTGACCTTTGACCCATTGACTTCAAAATGAAAAGGGGTCACTAAATGGTCATGACCAACCTCCATGCCAAATATGAAGACTGTAGGTCAAAGGATTCTTAGGTTATTGGGTTGATAAGCTTTTAAATGTCAAGGCCCCTGTGACCTTGACCTTTGACCCAGTGACCTTAAATGCAATAGGGGTCATCTAATGGTCATGACTAACCTCCATGCCAAATATAAAGACGGTGGGTCAAAGGATTGTTAAGTTATTGTGCAGAAAACTTTTTAATTCAAGGACCTTCTGACCCTGACCTTTGACCTTGTGACCTCAAAATCAATATGGATCATTTACTAAACATAACAAACCTTAATACCAAATATGAAGACTGTTGACCAAAGCATTCAAATGCAATTGAGCGGAAAAGCTTGTTGAAGTCAAGGTCCCTGTGACCTTGACCTAGTGACCTCATAAGTAATAATGAAGACTGGGTCAAAGGAATGTTAAGTTTTTGGAAGGACAAGCTTTTTGTTTAATCAAGGCCCCTGTGCCCTTGACCTTTGACCCAGTGATCTCAAAATCAAAAGGGGTCATCTCATAATCATGACTAACCTCTGTGCCAAATATTAAGAGTATGGGTCGAAGGATTCTTAAGTTATTGGGTGGACAAGCTTTTTTCAGTCAAGGGCCATTTGACCTTTGACCTGGTGACCTCACTAGGTGTCATCTACTTATAATGACCAATCTCAATACCAACTATGAAGACTGTGGGTCACTGGAATCTTAAGTTATTGGGCAGATAAGTTTTTCTAGTCAAGGCCCATGACCTTGACCCAGTGACCTCAAAATCAATAGGGGTCATCTACTAGTCATAACCAACCACAATACCAAATACGAGGAGTGTTGACCAAAGTATTCTAAAGCAACTGAGCGGACAAGCCAGTGAACGCCAGTGAACTCAAAAGCAATAGGGATCATCTAATGGTCATGACCAACATACATGCCAAATATGAAGACTGTGGGTGAAAGGAATCAAAAGTTATTGGGTGGACCAGCCTTTATAGTCAACATCCCTATCACCTTGACTTTTGACACAGTGACCTCAAAATCAATAGAGGTCATCTACTAATCATGACTAGCCTCCACACCAAATATGAAGACTGTGGGTCAAAGGATTCTTAAGTTATTGGGCAGACAAGCTTTTTAAACTTAAAGCCCTTGTGACCTTGACCTTTAGCTGGTGACATAAAAATCATTAGGGTTAATCTAATAATCATGACCAATCTCAATACCAAATATGAAGACTGTGCGTCAAAGATATCTCAAGTTTTTGGGAGGACAACCTATTTTTAGTCAAGGCCCGTGACCTTTACCTTTGACCCAGTGATCTCAAATCAATAAGGGTCACCTTATAACCATGACTTACCTCCATTCCAAATATGTAGACTGTGGGTCAAAGGATTCTTAAGTTATTGGGCTAACAAGCTTTTTTAGTCAAGGCCCATGTGACCTTGAACTTTGACCTGGTGACCTCAAATCAATAGGGGTCATCTAATAATCAGGACCAATCTCAATACCAAATACGCAGACTGTGGGTCAAAGGCATCTAAAGTTATTGGCGGACAAGGAAAAGCCGATGGACAGCTGATTCCAGTATACCCCGCTTACAACTTTGTTGTGCGGGGGTATAGAAAAATTCATGCACAAAATCATGGCACAATGCACAACTTGGCAAACAATTTTATAAATGTTCACTGAAATTTGTTAAGTGGTTTTGGAGATGAAGAATGGACAAACTAATTACGAAAAAATCAAGATACTATGCACAACTAGGCCTGGTGACAAACAATCATGTGAAGTTTCACTGAAATCTCCCCCCCCCAGCAGTTTTGGTACAAGCTTACTTCACTCGAAAATTAATCATTTAGGGTACATAACTGTGCCCCAAAAAATTCAAGTAGAAAATCAAGATACTAAGCACAACATGGCTACAAACATAATTATGCTGTGAACTTTCACTGAAATTTCCCCATTCCCAAGCTATTGGAGATGAAACATGGATAAGCTTATTTTACTTGTAAATTGACCATTAAGGAGGACAAGCTTATTACTTGAAAATGACAAATAAGAGACCATAACTGTGCTAAAAATAATTACGGGCAAAATCAAGAAACTATGCACTACTAGGCAAGGTGACACACAATCTTGTGAGAGATCAGTGAAATTTCCCCAGTGATTTTGAAGATGTAGAGTGGTCAAGGTTATTTTACTCGAAAATAGACCATTTTAAATCAAGCTTAAAATCAAGATACTTTAAACAACTAGGCATGGTAACAAACAATCCTTTGAAGTTTCACTGAAGTCCCTTCAGCAGTTTTGGAGATGAAGGGTGGCAGCTTATTTAACTCACAAACTGACCATTAAGGGGCAATAACAGTGAAAAAAAAATCCAAACAGAAAATAAAGATACGATATTAGTTTACCTTTTGAGAAACATAATTGCTCAAAATCAGGAGGTTTATTCTCATCATGGATTTCAGCGTCCATTTTCCATTTCTGTTTACTAAGACAATCCAAGTATTCAGGTTTTTTGTTGAATTCAGTTGAAGCAGATAGGCTCAAGTATGCCATCAACACCTAGAGGAATGAAAAATGAATTTATAAGATCTACATATTTAACAGACTTCATTTTATAAATAGTGTGTATGTTATGCCTCAATAAAATAAACATCAATTTCTTGCAAAGCTGTGTAGATTCACATTTGTGTGATTTATTTGTCACCTTAAGGGTGCAATAATTCATAATTATGTACTTTTTATTTGTTGATTTTCATTTCTGAGGAAGAAATACTAAATCGAAACTAGTAGAATGTGTTGTCTTGATTTTTTACATTTAAATATTAATAACTAGAAGGACTTTTGTCACAAAAACATATGTCTCCAAAAACCATGTATGGTCACTCATTGAAATCCCACCAGTAGCTTGACCTGTGAAAGACGAACAATATTTTTCTATTTATAGCTCTAACAGCCATTATGTGCAGCGAAGTGGAACATGCCAGTGATGTGCACAACTAAGGATGGTACTGATCACTCCTGTAAAGTTAGGTTAAAATCCCACCAGTAGTTTGACCTATGATGGCCGGACAAGATTTTTCTATTTTTAGCTCTGGTGGCCATTTTGTGCAGTGAAGCGGTATGTGCTGGTATTGTACACAACTAGGGATGGTACTGATCACTCCTGCAAAGTACCAGTAGTTTGACCTGTGAAGGCCTGACAAGAATATTCTATTTCTAGCTCTGACAGCAATTTTGTGCAGGGAAGCGGTAGTGCTGGTAATGTGCACAACTAGGGATGGTACTGATCAATCCTTTAAAGTTTGGTTGAAATCCCACCAGTAGTTTGACCTGTGAAGGTCGAACAAGAATTTTTTATTTTCAGCTCTGGCGGCCATTTTGTGCTGCCAAGCAGAAAGTGCACGATTGTGCACAAATACAGACAGACAGACGGACGCCAGGGGGTATAACATAATATGCCCTTTCGGGCATATAATAACTCTAAAATTAGGGAAGGCAGAGTTATGTTTTTTGCACTGCACTTCTACTCAATGAGATCTATCTACCTACAAAGTTTCTTGTTAATATCCCTTGTATTTTAGAGTTATGTCCAAGACAAAGTTCAAAGTGTAGAAATAAACAAAGGGCAATTACTCCAAAATTATAGTTCAAAGGGCAATTACTCCAAAATTACATTTTCTTTGCATTGTCTTGTACTCAATGAGATCAATCTACCTACAAAGTTTCTTGTTAATATCCCTTGTCGTTTTAGAGTTATGTCCCCCGACAAAGTTCAAAGTGTTAAATAAGCAAAGGGCAATAACTCCATAATATGGGATGGCAGAGTTACAATTACAATTCTTTTGCACTGCACTTCAACTCAATGAGATTTATCTACCTACAAAATTTGAAGTTGATATCTCTTGTACATTCTGAGTTATGACCCGGACAATAAATGTGCAACTAACGGATCAACCGACCATCAGCAGACTCAAGTATATCCCCTAAAACTTTGTTTGTCAGGTGTATAATCATCGTCGGATACCCACGATTGATAAACATGTTACATAACATGCAATCAACCGTGGGTAAAATGATTCATTTAATGAATCGATTTGCGTCGATATACAGCAACAGGTGCGTAAAATATCTACCAATGACATCGCGTTTAACAAATCTATATTCTTCAACAGCGGAGGTAAAAAACATTAAGAAAAAAAATGGCAGCGCCCACGGTTAAAAACTTTAGCACGTGTCTTGCTAAAATCAATGGCAAAAACTATCGCCAAATCAGTTCTTCTGCAAGCAGATATCAATCAGAAAGGAAAACATCATGCTGTAAAAGTAAATTATCTATACTTTCTTGCTGGAAATCGTTTAATTTTTCGATGTTGAACTTTACACGTCGTCTATGGTTGTCGCAATATTGTTCGTAATACCGAACGTCGTACAGAACGAGCGTTTTGATTGATTTTAATCGCCTCATGAAATCGTGACGCAGCCAATGAAATAGCTGCCTTTGACACACCTCTAATCGACTGAATATCGGCAAAAAATCCCACGGCTGATAAATGTTAATGGTTCGGCCGTGGGTATCCGACGATGGTGTATAATAAAAAATATAACCCTTGCAGTTTTCAAGATTTTTTTAAGTATTTTCTATATAAGGAAAAGCCATGACCCCCTGGGGCGGGATTATATTGACCCAAAGGCTTTTATTTGAACAAACTAAGTAGACACCCACTAGAAGATTTTTATGCTAAATATCTAAGCTCTAGCTCTTTGGGCTTTTGCGAAAGGTTTTTTTCTTTCGGATGCCATGGCAAATGTCAACATAACGTTATATTGGTTTAGTTTATAAAAATGTGTTCATTTTGGTCTTACACATGCTTAATTAAGTTTCTGACAGTATTTTTAAGTTCTTACCATCGATTTTCTCATGTAATTGATCTTTGAGCCACAACCTGAAAAAAATGATATAAAACAACAATTTGAAAACTTTAAATACATCCACACTAGAAACAATATTACAAGATGGATGCACTTCAACAGTGATACTACCTACTGTCTATACATGTTCAAGGTTTTCAATCCAATGAATTTTCTTCTTAAATACTTAGCATATCATAGTATTCATTATTCTATGTATTAGAGCCTTATATGATTTTGAATACGACGCATGATTTACTACGTATGACACAATTTATTTTGTGGGTCCTCAATATAAATACAGTAGAACTTCGGTAAGTCGAAGTTGAAGGGACTTGCGTAAAAACTTCGACACATCGAGAGTTCGACTCATGAATCGGTCTCAATTTCGTGACAAAATTTCCGCCATTTGACGTATACAAGGATGTTACAAAAGGCGCAACAATAGGAAAGGGGGATAACTAAACCAGCTTTTAGTAAATATTTCGGGTGTGATTTCACACGACACTGAGTCGCGGAAGTTTTCAAATGAAAGAGGTTTTTACTGTTTACTTTCAATAACAACTAAGACAATTTAAATGGTAACAATTAAAGCATTTTGTCACACATTTAAATGCATACAAAGGCTGTTTAAAGAAACGGTTGTGTAATTTACACCTGTCACACAAGTTGATCGGAAATTGTCTTCGCGGCCAGATAAGTTGTGAAAAATGTCTCGAGGTCAAAGGTGTCAAAATAATAAAAAAACTTTGACTTATTTGTGGTAAATTGTACTTGATTTATTCTTTACAGACCAGGAAAAAACTTCAACACATCAAAAATTCGACATATATATTTTCGACTCATAAATAGGTTTTTATAAGAAATAAATAGGGGAAAAATCGAGACTTTCAGTTTACATCACCACAATGCGAAAATCGACTACTCGAAGTTCGACTCATAGAAGTTCTACTGTACAAGAATATAAAAACATTCACATTAATCAGCAAAGCACTTGAGGACCCATTTAAATTTTTTTTGCTTCACCTACACACACACATGCACACACACAGAAGAATGGCTATATGCCATCGCATCACAGATATAGTGGTATAACTAGAGCTATCGCTGAATGCAATTCATAACCCAACCAATGTCCTTGACAGAAGACGACTTGGAAAGGTGGTTAAGGGAATATCTTTAGTGGCACAAATACATATACATAAAAAGACAAATTGTACAGGTAAAAGTATAAATATATATCGTCAAATCATGTTCAAAACAGTTACAAATAACCTTTCATTTTCCAAATGTACTAAAACAAACAAAAGAAGTGAAGTTAAGAAAATAGCATAATAATGTCAAAATGTAATTAAGAGTGGAAAAACTTTGTATACTGAGCTTACTTGTGACCCTTCATATATTATATAGTTTCAAGTGAATATTTTCTATGGTGTCAGAGCTATTAAAGTAAATGTAAATTTCTATGAAATATTTATAAGTGGTAAGTATGCAGTGTCTAATGAAATATTTACATGTTTTACTGGTAAGTATACAGTATCTTTATATATTAAAGTAGAAATAAATGGGAAAATAAATGTCCATATGTGACTGAAATTTTAGGTTAGTTCTTTAACAGTTAAGATATTGTGATAAATTATGAACTGAATAAACAAGTGAATATCTGTTCTAGTTTCAGAAACATTTAAGTATTAATGGTTATATCAGAACATTTTCTAAGCCTAAAAGGGACATTACTTGTGCCATAATTCAATGGAATTGTAGAATTTGTAGAAATTGTAAAAATGGACTTAACTTTGTCAAAAAACAATACAAACTTATCCCCCCCCCCATTTTTTAATTTTTTTTTTTTTAGTTATAAAACTTGACCGGCATATCTTACTTGCGACACTTCGTATAAATTTGAAGTTTCAAATGATTATCTGTTCTAGTTTTAGAAATATTCAAGTACTCTAAAATTTTCAGAACATTTTCTAAGTCAATTTTTGACCTTCAAAGTGTGGCCTTTGACCTTAAGCTGGCACAAGGGTAAGATGGGTTCTGCACATTGCCCAGTTGGGGTGAACATTTGAGTCAAGTTTGAAGAAAATCCTTTCTATTAGTATAGAATTATAGAGCGGGATACAACATATTGTCTAATATTTGATTGTATGTAAAATTTGAAGACTTAAAAAGGGCATAACTTGTCAAAATGCAATACAGAGTTATGAAACTTGACCTGCATATCTTACTTGCTGACACCTAATATATCTTTTAAGTTTCAAGCAAATACCTGTGCTAGTTCAGAAATTTCAAGTACATGTTAAAATTTAAAAATTTTCTAAGTCAATTTTTTACTTCAAGTGTGACCTTGACCTTAAAGCCGCAAAAATCCTTGCCCTGGTAGGGAGAATTTTGTAGGCGTGTTTATCAGATAAATCATGCAAAGGACGCTGTATAGTCTGATTTTATTGACCTGTCAATTTTGAATACATTATAGCACTCATTTAAATATTCGATTTCACTTCGGTTCTGTCCGTGTAGTTTACGAGAAATTAATATGGAGTAAATAACTAATGTTTTTGAAAAGTCACACCAGCTTAATGCATAGGCCATGTCAAATCCAGCGATAGCAGAGACGGTAGAGTGAATTGTCTAATATATGTCTAATATTAGGTAATGTAGTTCCCTCCACTTTTTGCCGTGTTTTAAAGGCCTACTCTTTTTTCCTTTATTTTTTGCACGTATATTTTCATGAAAATGGCCGAAGTGCTTCCAATATTGTCTAACACATATATAAATCAACTAAGAAATATTGTCTCAAAATTTTGTATTGTGTTTTAACGCCATTGAAATGGCATTTTCTAATTTTAATCTCCGAATTCATTAAAATTTTAATTCTGAAAGCATGTTATTTAAAAGGAATTTAATCGCTAAACATATGAAATCAAAACGAACAACAAACACAAGGGCAAATTTTTTAGGTTTCCCCGAATAATCGTTGAAATAGTTATAAGAAGAAGAAGAAGAAGGAAAAAAAAACAAAAAAACATTGGAGGTACCGGTCTCGATCTCACAACAATTAGGACACTTATAAATCATTAACCTGTAGCTTACCTATTCCGCTATACCTGCTCAGTATAATTGCTCCATAGGCACAAATTATATTTAATCAAATCTCACTGAGTACATCTCACGGAAATTACCGAAAATCTTTCGAAGATTAATATATTTTGTGCATTGACTGTGTAATTAGTATGGAATTGACAGGTTAATAAAACCAAACAATACCTGTGCTAAATTTAGCTGATGTAAACAAACACTAATAGGCAGACGATTACTGATCAGCAGCTCCCTTCCTAGAGTAATATTTCAAGTTTCTACTGGGAAAGTTAACACTGCCACGTGTATTTGTTTTACAACCTGCAGTTCATGACCCCATTTACTCCGCCCCGGGATTTTCAAATTTTTGACAGTTAACTGATTTTTTTTTTCACAAAGTACATTTAAGTGAATCTTTTGTGATATTTTCTCTGCCATTTTATTTCAAATGTTGCAAAGAAGTTATACAAAAAGTTTTTAGGCAAAATACTTCTTGGTTATTTTACTATTTCAAAAAAGGGCTGTTAGATGTGAAGCATGTCAAAAATACCATGAAAATCTGCCCCAGCGCCATCTAGTGGCTTAAATAGTCAAGTTGCAGGTTTAAGCCGGCACAAAGGTAACATGGGTTCTGCACATAACCTTGTTGAGATGAACATTTGAGTAAAGTTTGAAGAAAATGCTTCCATTAGTATAGGATTTATAGAGCGGACAAGACATATTGTCTAATATTTGATTTTATGTAAATTTGAAGACTTAAAAAGGGGCGTAACTTTGTCAAAATGCAATACAGAGTTATGAAACTTGACCTGCATATCTTCATTGTGACACTTCATACATATTTTAAGTTTCAAGCAAGCAATTTTTGACCTTCAAGTGTGACCTTAAGCCGGCAAAAGGGTAACATGGGTTCTGCACATAACCTTGTTGAGGTGAACTATTTGAGCCAATATTAAAGAAAATCTTTCAATTAATGTAAGACTTACAGAGCGGACACGACATACTGTCTAATATTTGATTGTTGACTTGATTTTTTTTTGGATATGTTTGATATTTGACCTTCAATTGTGACCTTGACCTTGAGCTGACACATGGGCAACATGAGTTCTGCACATTCCCTTGTTGAGGTGAACATTTGAGCCAAGTTTGAAGAAAATCCTTCAATTGGTATAGGGTTTATAGAGCGGACACGATAATGGAGACGGACAGAAGGACCGACGCGACAAAACGAATCCATTATAGCCCCCCCCCCCCACTTTTTGTTGTGGCGGTATAAAAAGTATTAGCTTTTAAACAATCTAACAAACAACTTAATTTGTAAATACAATTGTAATACATTTTCATAATGTATTTTTTTATTGAATGATTATAAAAATACCACAGGAAGCTATTTTATGTTTAAATGCTTGTTTTGTGCCGTTTTTAATTTTGAGCCTATATATAGAAGTATTTCTATGATTTCTAGATCTCAATATCTTTGATACTTGAATTACCTAAGTACATCATATCAATTATGGCAAAGTACCAGTTTCATTCAACTGACATAAAACAGCCTGGTCAAATGTCTGTGCAATACAAACAAGATAGCATTGTGAATCAAAGCACTGAAAGTACTGAAGTATACATTGCTTGATAATATAATCCATTTTTGTCATCAAGGCCATGTTGATCTTAACCTACTGACCTCAAAAACAATAGGGGTCATCTTCTGACCAAGGTCAATGTCCCTAACAAGTGACTCACAACAAGGCTTTTTTCTTCAAAAGTTACAAGGAAGATGTGATGTTCCATCTTGGTATTGCTAGGAAAGCTGATAGATGAGCAATAAAGAAATCAATTTTTGATTCACTTGTTAAATGGACTGCAGAATAGAATATTGAAACAGTAATATTGAGTCTTCAGTGATGCTATCTAATAAAAGACATGACCTGGCTTGAACTCTATACAAAGTCAA